GAGGAGAGGAGAGGAGAGGAGAGGAGAGGAGAGGAGAGGAGAGGAGAGGAGAGGAGAGGAGAGGAGAGGAGAGGAGAGGAGAGGACAGTAAGAGTCCAGGGGAGAAATCACTTCTTTCTAACCTCTGTCCTAAACCTGCTTTCTCCCGCAGTCTCCCAACCCTGACAGTGGGTTAGGGACTGAACCGGGCCTCAGCTTTCTAAATCAGCAGCTCCTCCTGAGTGACACAAATCCACACAGGACAGCCTTTGCTCCTGCTCGTTACTGGTGCATTAATGAGTGTAGTTATGACATAATTACACTCGTCTAGCAATTGCTTGGTACTACTGTTAAGAGTGCACTGGCAGAAACTGAATGTATGCATGGAACTAGGAAAGAAGTTAAATAAGAACCTCGGCTTAGAAACTAGCAAAACAAAGTTTAACAGACTGACTCAAAATAAGACAAGATCACATTACCTTAAACCCAGGATAGGAAATCACTGAAAATATTTTATGTGGACGTTAAAGAAAAAAAGAGTTAGTTCACCGCAGGTTCAATATGGACTGAGTACAAATGGTCAAAAAGACACACACACACACACACACACACACACACACACACACACACTGGTTTGCTCAGAAGTATCATTCAGGACAACAGAGCAACAGCCCACCGTACCAAGCAAAGATGATGCAGCATGGATTACGGTAAAAGCCCTGAACAGCATTCTCTTCCATAATGGCTAAGGACAAGAGGAAGGCCTGAAAGGCAGCGGCTGGGGACCATGGAATTTAGAGCGGCATCCAATGGGAAGACAGTGTGGTGGTTTCAATAATCCCCTCAGGCTCACGTATATGAACACCTGGCCTACAGGAGGTAGTGCTACTTGGAGAGATATAGTGGTGCAGTCTTGCTCCAGGAAATGTGTCACTGGAAGCTAGCTTTGGGTGTTTACTGTCTCACCCTACCTCTTTTATGTATGTCCTCTACTTCGTGCTTGTGGCTCGGCACGTGAGGTCTCATGGCTGTCCCAGCCATTGTGCCTACCTAGCATTTGCAGCTACTGTTTCCCCACCGCCATGGACTCTTACCCATCTAGACCCGCAAGCCGAAACAAGCTCTCTCTCCTTGAGTTGTCTTGGTCATGCTGCTTCCTCGCAGCACCAGAAAGGGAACTAAAACATATGGCATGTTCAGGTAAGACTCAAATGACTCAACCTTGGCAGAAGACAGTGTTACTATGAAGAGAGAACAATTAGATTTGTTCTACATGCTTTGAATGGAAGGACTGATGA